CCTACATTAAACACTCAGTACAGGGTTTTCTTTTGTTAAACCAGTTGTCACTTTAATGTGATAGAAGTGGCTGAGCAGTAACAGGTGACAGCTCTAGTCATCTATGCTCTCCAGATGGAACTATCTTGTATTCTTTCATAAACCCTTCACTTGTCACTGAGGATTCTGAGGTAGCTGTTCAATGGAAGATCAATGAAATACTAGTTTCAGAGGTTACTAGAGAAATGGAAGAGCTAAATATGATCTTAACTAGTCATTACCTGGGAAGAGAACAATGACTCACATCAATTTCAGAAAGTTAAACAGCCTTTTAGAAACTGTCATGACTCACAAGTACTGCATGCACACACACACACACACACACAGTCTTATTCTCTGTTCAAGGCATTTAGTTCTTCTGTAGAGAAACTAAGCTCTCTCCTCCCTGAGCCTGCAACAGCCTTATATTAATGTAATTACCTTGACATTAGACAGCTAATTGATTCAAAGATGTAGATGCTATATATGCATTTCTTGCTGACTGGGTTACATAAATTGTTGACCTATAAACTGCTGTGAAAAAACACATAATAGAAATGAAGTTTTTTTCTTTTTTTCTAACAGATTTTGTTTGCTTTGGATTGCAAGTAAAGCAACTCTCAAAATCAAACTAACTCCAGGCAGGTTTGCTTTGTGGACATAGTGTTCTAAAATAAAAATTTTTTTCAGCAAGTATTCAGGTGAGGGGTTATTTTGGCTTCTGAAGCATTCATTTGAGTCATAATAATTCAGTATCCATTGAAACAATTAACACAAGCAAAGCTGAAGGTAGCCAAGCTAGAAGACTCTGTCTGGAAATGGAAGCAAATATGATATTTTAGCAGTGCTGGTATTTCCAATTCATGTTAATGATCTATCAGTTACTACTGTAACTTACATATATATGTATGCTACCTTTTGAGGGATACTTTGGACATTAAAATAACTGAAAATCAACAAGCATTTTTGCTAATTTACACTGCAAAAGGGTTTTCCACTGCAATGATTACAGTATGACCAGAAAACACACATGCATTCAATGAAGATCATACAGCAGGAAAAGGTAATGCACTGGACAACCTTCTGACTATTCTTCACATATTTGTTCTGGCCCAGATGGAGAAGCTAATTCATGATAATTAGAGTGTAAATTTCCAAGCACTGCAGCTTAGCTGCCCTAGTTCCCACTAAGGCCACTTTGTCTTGCTAGGAGAAAGTAATCTTGCTTTGAAAGTACAGTAAGTTGTTTTCCTTTCAAACTGAAGCATCTCAGCAAGAATAGTGTGAATTAATGACATGTAAATTCTCACAAAAATTATATCACAAATTTAACAAAAGTCACTAGGAAAATTAATTAACATGACCTATATCCACAAACAGCGTTACTGAGTTCTTTTTTGCCTTGAAGAGGAGAGACTAGTGTATCCCAAGCAAGGAGGTAGAATTACTGTAAATGAGCTTAAGTAGCTGAGTAAACAGTTTGATCTGCCTACCAACTAACTACTCACCTGAGCAACTAAGATAGCTGAACATGGCACAGTGTGCCCACACTGCAGTGAGCCTGACACAGCAGCTGAGAGAAGTTGTCCTCTGATGGTTGTTTACCAGACTGTCTGAAATAAGCAAATTCAATTCTTACCAGAAAAGTGTCTGCCTTGCAAAACTCAGAAGAATGAGATTCCCCTGCTAATCATCTTGGTGCAAGCGAAGAGGAACAAAAACTTAATTACCCTTCTGCTCTAACAAATGGTACCTCCTCACTAAAATCCAGAAACTGCACTGGGGAGCGTCTATGCCTTTACCATTCCAAAATTATCCTATGTGGATTATTTCATCCTGCAGGGTTGCCAGGCCTGAATGTAAACCAAACACATTACGCTGTTTGCAATTTTTTGATTGTATTTGTCAATATTCTTTGTTATCAGGTTTAGGACTTCATTTTAAGTAAATAAAAATATGCTTTTAACTACAAAACTGCATGAAATCTTCCATTTTCCCCCACTACACGGCCAGGGTCTTCTTTAAAAAGGTAACTTTGAGTTTAGAAACTCCAGTTATAGGAACATTAATTTAACAGTGCTGCAAGGCAAAGATATATTCAACCTGTTTGAATTCCTAGGTGAGGTGTGAAACAAAAGTGGGGGGAGTCTCCAGATAAACTAAGAACAATTGTCTGACAGCATTCTGGTCCAAGGCTGCATGGACCATAGTCATATAAACTCATTTTATGCACTGTCTTTTTTATTAACTTAATTAATGTCTTCTGTCTCTGAACATCGTATGTGAATTCCAAACTCTGCAATTTTGGGCCTCAAATCTGAGGCATCTGAATTTACTGTCATGCTATATTGTGAAAGTAGATCACCACACGATTTCATATCTGAATATCTGTCAGATTCACAGGTGCTAACAGCAGACATTCATCCTTCTGTCTATACAACTTCTTAAATGAGATTCTGCTTCAGCACGCAAGTTTTATGGTATTGATATGAAAATGTGCTTTTTCACAACAATAACTAATATTTTACTATCTTTGACACCAAGAAAAATGTTTCTTAAATACTACAGAACATTTTGAGACAGTCTGAGATATGCATGAAATGTCCCTACAGGAAAGCCAGTTTATTCAAGGGACTGGCATATATCTTCAGTCTGCTTTATATTTTAGAAGTGGCTGTAATCTCAGACTGACTAGATATTTGAGAAATCCTGAAAGATAGAAGATTGGAAAAGATAAAAACCATCTTAAGCAAAGGGAATAGCCTTAAAAAGATCAACGTTTTTGCATGTTTAATTATTTATTCCATTATTTTTCTGTTAATTTAAATTAAACAAGTAACAAGAAGAGAGCAAGAAAGAAATAATGAGGACCGATGATTAATCTAGGTAAAATTGTATGAAAGGAAACTAAATTCTTTCTATAACAAAGTAGCAGGTCTTGGGAAGGAATGAGCAATAAAGTCGTATATCCTAACTCTGTGATCTGTTTCACAGTGCTGTCTGATTTTTACCACTCTTAATATTGTGTATTTAATTATTCCTACCTAAATGAAGTAGCTCTTGCTTTTCTTTGTTGAGTTGCATATACTTTTCATACTGATTTCTTAACTTGTCATGATGATTCTCAATTTATATCCTACCCTTTCACAGGCAGTTAAGGGATCCTCTGCAGCTGATGGCTGAATGCTATTTGATAATCCTCTCTGTGTTATCCAAAATATTAATGGGAGTTTTGACTAGTGCTAGACCTAAGGTGGAATGTTATGTACAAAATCCTTTCATTTAGACAGTGAATCATGAATAGTAAAAAATAATAGCAAAACCAGCTGCATTTTCCCAACATGATGCAGCAGTACTCAGAAAAATAGTTGCATGTTTTATCACAAATGGAATAAATCTGGAATGAAAGCAGAAAATATTGTACTAGGATATATAAGACAGAATGCAGCACTGAAGATGTGAAGTAGTGACATTTTGGAACGTTACACTTGTGAAAACTATGTTCACATGTTTGAGATAATTCAGGAGATATTAGACATATCAGCCTTGGAGATAAGGCAGAAAGAACTGAGCTCATTCTACCTAAAGAAAACTCTGAAGACACACATGAAAACAGTCTTCAGATATGTAAAGCGGTAGTAAGTGTGGAAATATAATATAATATTCTTTGCCCACTACAGATTGAGTAAAATGTAATGGTCTTAAAATATAAAATGTGATTTACATTAGGAATTAGAAAGACTTTTCTATTGATAAAGATGTGAAATTGAGAATATGTTGCTAAACTTGCATGTTCCCAACATGATACTAAAAGTCATGTAAAAATGTCAAGCAAATCATGCTTCCATAACCTACCTTTGAAAATGCCATGCACACTGCATCCAAGGTCTAAGACTGGATGTTTAGTTAGATTTTGGTTATAAATTACAAACCAGAGACTCATTACCTTAGCTAACACACTCTAAATCACAAAACAAATAGAAAGGTTTAGGTTGGAAGGATCCTTTAAAGATCACCTGGTCCAACCCCTTTGCCATGGGCAGAGACATCTTCCAATCCATCATGTTGCTCAAAGCCCCATCCAACCTGACCCTGAACACTTCCAGGGATGTCCAAGCTGACAAGGTTTAAGAGCTATGGAGACAGAAGAAATGCAGATGATTACCTGCAGATGATTAAGGAACCATCCAGATCTGTTATTTAGAGTCCTACACAGTTTTTGACAGGTGACTGTAAAATATGGTTTTGAAATAATTATTTTAACCTGCTATTGTGAGTAGGACAAATGAAGCCAAAAGTTCAAGGGTGTAAACCTTCTATGAAAAAATCAATGATAATGTGGAGACTATTTACATTAGATATTTATGCAATCCTCATTATCAGGCAGTATCAGGACTTCTTCCAATATTTAATGTATTTCTCTTCACAATAATGCTGTAAGGTCAGTGAATCTGTGAAACTGCACAAAAATACAAGATTTGTGAATCCCTAGAGGAAATGCTCAGTAAAGCAATCATGAAGAGTAGTCCAGTAATGAGATATCCCCTTGGGGGAAACCACACTTGATTTCTCTCTCTCTGTTTTTTTCAGATCTGCCAATATTACTGAATCCAGATATACTGGACAGACTATATATGTACAGATCAGCTGAGCATGTGCCACCAGTTCAGCACAGACCAGGACAGGTGCTGTTAGATACTTACCCAAGCTGTTGACATGCACATTAATGTGCAGCTACTCTCATCAAGTATTGGTCACCCAACAACAAGGTGTTCTTTTCTTGCTGTCTGAAAAAATGGCAATTGCCTTCCAGAACGTGTTGTTCTGGAAGGCTTAGCAGGTATGTTGTTTACCTATTTTATCCAACGAGTAATTGCATTTAAAATACATAAATAAGCCTTACTTAGGCATGCACCTAACAAGCCAAACTTAAAATTCAAATAACTAAATTATTTTATGAATCTGACACTAAAATGACTTACCAAAAGCCACAGAATGAGCAGTCATGTCTCAGACCCAGGTTGTCTTCTTAGTTGCATGACTATCTATTCTGCTTCATTGTCTCTCTCTGTGGTCTGATTTTTCAAAGAAGGATTTTAAATCTAGAAGAATAGAAATCCAAGGTCAGGCATGCAGGGCAGGAAAAAAATTATGTGGTGACCATCTCAACAAGGTTTGAACACATTTTTTCATCTTTCTGGTCCTTGGCTGTAATAGAAATACAGCCCAATTAATAGATTTCTTAAAGTGTCTATCAAACTGCAACATTACTTTTCTTTGTATGTTATCAAATGAGGATCCAATCCTGAAGTGTGTCTAAAATACAAATAATGCATACATATTATATATAGAAATAATAGGTTTTACTTTTCTGAGTGTACCCACAGGTGTTTCATGAGTGTGAACCACTCACATTAAGGCTTTTGAATCAGATTCATCCTCACAGATTACATTTAAACCAATATTCAAAGAACCATGAGATAATATATTTTGTGTTTCATTTTCATTTTGCAGAGAATTTTTTCTTAAAAATTTGAAAGAAATGAGTTCCAGCTTCTGCAAAAGAACAGAGGCAGAGTTAAGCTACATCACTTATTCTAGATTTGAGAACATTTTGCATGGCCATTGGGAAGATCAGTTCATTAGAAAGTCCAAAACTTGTGACTTGAGCATAAAATCTTTTCACAACACCAATATTAGGATACTTTGGAACTGAAAAGCAAAGCCTTCAGTTCTGTAAATACAAACGGCTTCCTGAATTAAGTACTAGAGAGAGCATCATCCTGAGCATGAGCTCTGGAGCCTACACTAAGTAGGGAAGGGAGTGGGATGTCAACCGGCAGGAGAAAGGTCTGCTGCTGGCCCAGATGTATACCTCTGTGAAAATTCGACCTCCATTTTCACCACTGCAGCTCCTGAGAATCAAGCAGGTATCTTAGAAAACATCAGTACTTGAACAAAATTCTGGATGTTAAACTGAGAGAATACATAATAACTTCAGTTTTATGAGCATGGACCTGGATGCTGTAATTTTAACAGAACTATGCAGATTTGGTGCCCCCTGCTGTCTTTAACTACCAGAGTGGCCCATGAAAAATATAAGTGCTTAAATACACTGAACAGCACAAAACACCCCCAAAGGGCAAATTAAGGATGCTGCTCAAAAAGGCACATTTAAACCAGAATGTGAGTCCACAGACTACTTTGGTGAAGCATCCAGGAGCTGAGAAAAGCAGAGCTTTTTGTTGGTAATAATCACAAATGGGAAAAGCATTGAGTGCACCATCGCCAATGGGAACCACAGAGACCTTGGCACTCCTCCATTGCTTGAAAGCAGGACCACAGAAAAGACTCAGTCTCTTGTGGGGATAAAACCACATGAAATCTTTGTGGTCTCTTTTTTCTTGCTCAGCGCTGGGTCTGCTACATTCCTGCCTCTCTACCCCAAAAAGAGAGTTTAAACGGGCTCTACTGTCCTATGATGATAGCATCTAGAGGTCTCAAAAAATATTACTACCAGTGGTACCCCCAGGTACACAGTGGGTGCATCTCCATAAGTTTTTGTTATCACCTAAATTGGAAGACATGCTCCAGGAGCATACCCAATACAGCAGGCTCCTGCAGGGGACAAGCCCAGAGCTAACCCAAAACACAACCCCTCTAATGCATACAGCACAGCTCTTGGGGTGGCAGCACAACCTGCTTCTCTCTACTGAGCAAACCTTCCTGGGCCACGCTGCGTGCTAAAGGAAAGGTACCCACTTAATAAGACTCACCTGCTGAATCTCACTGCCACTGAGGGCGATTTTCTAACCTCTCTGTCCCTCTAGCTGCTTGTTCCCAGTCCATCCACTTCGTTAGCCCCAGCAACCTTCAGACGGAACAGTGAGCTTGCTTAACTTCCAGACTCAATCAAAAACTAATATCTGCTTCTTTTTTTTTTTTTTTCCCCAGGGCTGGTTTTCAGTTGGATCAGTTTATTGTATGGTCATGTGGGTGCCTGGTCTGATGTAAGAAGGAGGAGGAATGTCCCTTTGGCAGCAGTACAGTCTCAGATTGGCTTAAGCTAATCATGAAACTTCTGTCCTAAATCAAATAAGGGTGTGAGGTGTCAGTTGGTGCAATGGCTTGTCCAAACTAACAGAATACATTTCTAGCACAGCTGGGTTAAAATTCTGCTATAATCAATGGCTGATATATTATATCCCTAATTTATTTTCATTTCTCTGTTGGTCTCTCATCCCTTCCTTGTACTCCTCCTCGAATACTACGCAATGTAAGTGATGATGAAGCAAAGCTACAGTGCCCCATCTGAGCCTCTGCAAAGCAGCAGACAGGACTTTTGGAGGAAGAATGTCTAAGTGATTTTCTAATGCAAATCAACAGTAGGTTAACAACTGATAACTTTGCTTACACTCAAAGACATTTCTTTAAAGGGACCTTTGTTCAGTAGTCACAAGTAACCAATCAGTCAGTTACTTCCTACCTTGGCTATCTGCGCTTGAAGATGAAAAAAATCAAACAAAAAATTCCACAGAGAAGAGACAATCCTGTCTTGCTGTGAAAAGGGGTGTTCAGTGCCTGTATTCCTGAAGCCATGGGTGCTAAAAGAGCACTGTGCTGTACTTCAAGTAGATGTGCCGCAGAGGATGCTTCATCATTTCATATTCTCCTCATGCTGGAAGGCTTTTAGGACTGACATTGAATCTATGAGTCACTGACACTTCTGGAAAGGCTTTCTGGTGAACAAGATGAAATTTCTGTCATTTGTAGTGTCTGAGAAGGTTTTTCAACTTCAAGAGAAAAGAACTTATTCAGTTTCTCTGACACTTATTTATACATCCAAGTTCTAAATGGCCATTTTCAACTCTTGAACTCCTGTGACTTAGTGAAATGGTATGATCTGTATTACATCTTCTGTAGCAGTATTTAAACAAATATCCTTAATAAAATCTTGCTCACTCCCACCATCTAGAAATCCTGTTTTGTATTTCACACATTTTATTTTTATATCCCAGCATTCATAACACCAGAAGGCAAGAGTCTGGCCTGATAACTATTAAATGAGTTGCACTCTGATGCAAAATCAACTTGCTTACTACATCCTTTATACTTGTTATTTTACTCAGTGAACTGGCTGCAGGAGCTGTCTGAAAATTCATTTCTATCTCCTCTACACGTTGTGTAAGTCAGCAGTCTGTCCTCTATTCACCTCTTTTCAGGGTGAAACACAGCCACACATAGCCATGTCAGGGGTTGTGCAAGAAGAAGATTATGAGGGTGGATCCACTTGTTTTGATCTCCCAACAGAGCACTCTGGCTCACTCTGCTAACAGGCTACTGCAGCCACTTTCTTGCTCTTTTTCCACCCCTAAGCTCTCTTCTTTCCCCTTTTCTTGTTTTTCTCCCTGAAATCAATAAATTTATGTGCATATCTGGCAGCCACCACTTGCAGACAGCCAGACCTTGATGCTCTTGAGAACAAGGAGCTAATTTTTAACTATTGAAATAAAGTTGAGTGCTGGAAGAGCTGGTTTGTCACAGAAGGGAGTGTGCAGAGGGATGAGCATGGAGGTTTAAGTCAGAAGGTCTTATTATCACTAGACCTCAGGGCACTGGCTAATCAGTAGGGGTGTTGCTTTATTAAGAAAACTGTATTTTATGATATTTATGTTTCATCTGAAACATTCAGTTTCAGTAAGACACCAGAGACACTTCATGAGCCACTGGAGTGCTACATCATAGCAATTAATAACAATTACTAGGAGATTCTCTTCCAGGGCATGCCAGGCCCCAGTGTGTAGGAAGGGGTAAAATACATCACTACTCACGTCTTTCAAGTATGCTCTTCCCAACACATAAACTAAGGTGAATACCAACATACAAGTCAGACTTCTTTCTTCTCTCAGCATACTCTTTTTCCTGTGATTCGAGTATTGGAACACATTTAATCTAGTACATATCTGGATGTTCTTTCACCTAAAAATGTAGATTTGCACATTGTGAGTTGTAACTTTCTCCTCAGAGGATAAGAAAACACTCTTAGAATAAAGAATACTGAACTGGGAAGCAAAAAACTCCAAACTCAGTTCACAGTGTAAACAAAAGACCTTGCACTTACTCCACTTGTTAGACATCCTGTCTAGAATAGGATGGCAAATTGCCCAAGGCTTTGTTTATGCTGGCTAGCAAAATATGCTATAAACAAAGCAGAAGACAAACTAGTTTCTAACGTGACTTGTCCAGTCTTTGAGGAATAAAATCCAGCTTTTTAAGGCTAAAAACCAAAACAAACAAACAAGCTAGTGGAAGGATTGAAATGAGCTACATGTAAGATAAAAACCAAAACAAAACAAGAGCAGGCATCAATGACCTAGAGCCAGAATCCAAGTCATTCAAACTCAGAATAAATAGTGGAGAGACACTAAGCAAAACCAAATTTCTGTAGCAAATATCCATATTTCAGGGTTAGTTTAAAGAGCGAAAGATCTGCTCATGAGCTCCTTCCGGAGACTAGACTAGAATTGTGCCAAGTGTATACACGTGTTAGTATATCAGTAAGCACCAGTATATATTCTTATGTTAGAACAACCTTGTATCACACACACTTGTTCTTATCAGAAGCTGGAAGACAAAAACACTCTTCATCCTGCAGTTAACAACACCAGGTGACAATCTGTTAGCAACACAGTAAACAGTGCACTTTATCAAGCATTATTTAATTTTCTTTGGGCACACTTTTCTACCTGTTTCTATCTTTTTGTGTCCTTGTAAAGATTGGGGCAGCAGGGTATGAAACCAGGACTAGTAAATGTTACAGAATTGCAAATAATGACATATAAAAACTCTGTATTTTTCATTATAAATAAATTTAGGTCCAACATGTGCAGTTTTGAAAGGTATTTTTATCTTGAATTCAGCATTTAAGGATTTAGTGACAAATATTTCATATGATACTTTTAAATGTGAAACTATTAAAAAAAGCGTGAAAAAATTAATATTGATGTTCTTACAAAATGATGGCGTAACACAGCCTTTCAGCTTGTGTCTGTGTATGTCTGTCAGTTTGTCTGTCTTGGTTCTCTCCTCACCCTGATACAAGTGGACTCGCCAGCACGTTTCATTGCTCCCTTTCTAGTCACAGTTTCTCTGCATGAAAACTGGATAGAGATGAATCAATGGTGGGAATACAGATGTCATCCCAATCCTGGATGTAGACAGGGTACACACACTCAGGGAGCTGAAGTGCACTCCTGAGGCACACAGTGTAGCTGCAGCTAATGCAGCCAAAAAAAAGGGCCTTAGGCAGTAACTGACTTTGCAGCTCTGTCTAATCTCCAGGTTTATAAGAGGATGCCCTGTGACATTGCTCCTTTTGCTGGGTAACTCTTCTTACCTGAGTAGTTCCCTGAGACATTTCCAAACAGTAGATAGATTTATATATATATACATACACATATATATATATATATATATAATGGGCACATGCTGCTTGGTCCACTGCAATTAGATATTCTGAATTTTGATGCTATTCCTTTATTTAAAACATGCCCCCAGGAGTAAATATTTTATGGTCAGTGATCTCTAAAGAATACAATTTAATTTCTCATTTACCAGGTATATGTATTCAGAGCTCTGTAACACAGCTCATAAAGTAATATTATGCTTTGCAATATAAGTATGATGCATTATACACAGCATATAATTTAATCATTCTTGACTGTGGCATAAATGGTTGGAGGTGAATGCCACCTAGATTAATACTAATTACACCTTGCACCTTTATGAAGTACTTATCAGCCATGCACACAAGCAATTTGTTCTAAGCCACACAATGAGTCAGTGGCAAACAAAGGAGAGGAAACAAGGTTCTTTTATCTCCCATACTTCTTCTGAGCCAGCTTTTTGCCGACAAGAATTAAAAGCCATTTCATACTTCATAGCGATGAAGCTATTTTTTGTCAGCGTTTCACCAGAACTGCAACCTCAGTCTCACAACGTATGAAAAAGTTTTGTACAAGAAAATACAAAGATATATATGTATGTGTGGGTTTTAAATATGGCAAAACATAAACTAAACGGATGAAAGCCTTACAACTCCTAAAATAGCTTATTTTTACTATCTGTACACATTACCAAGGAAAAGAATACTACTTTTAAAAGCCCACACTTATTGTGTAAACCTCAGCATTTTGTGTAGCCTTTAGGTTCACTGCAGTTGTCTGTACTACATTTATATAATTCTTTAAATAACCACTGGGTGTCACAGTTACCAACATAAAACACTTGGGGGACTTCTCCAGGTTCATTTAAAAACAGACATGTATAATCAGAGATAATACCAATTCCTATACCCATAATATTAATAGTCACTCCCATTCCAAGACCAGGAAATGGTTTCCTTAATAAAAATAACATTCAGTCAGAGTTAATACAAACTGTTCTTTTAGAAACTAGCAAAATGGAGATTTGTCTTTGAAATTTAGCCTACAGGTAAGATTCTGTCATACTGCACATTTGTGAAGTATGTTCACCGCTAGAGTGGAATGAGGCAATTCTAGACTCCAGGGACTTGAGGAATAATTTCCATAGGCTTTCTCTTTCAAAAATTAAGTGACACGAGAAACAATTATTTCCTCTCCCCTTTGTAAAATACCCATTCACTCAAAGAAAGTCTAAACATTTCGGCAGTATAAATAGCACTATAACCTTATGCTTCAGGTCCCAGCTCTCAGAATTACACAACTAGCAGAAGTACATGAGTTTTCATAGTTTTAAATTTAAAAGTAAGTTTGTGGTCTTCATCACAGAAAAGAAAATGTGACTCCAGAATAATCAGTGACTATTCAGGTTTGCAGACAACAGCTTTAAATCGTGTGAAATGCTTTGTGTCTTTGTTCAGATGTCAGCTCCAAAGGCACAAACCAGTGTTCGTCCCACAAACGACCCCATGAGATGAGGAGTGTATCTGGTTGGCTGGTTTCACCCACCCACATGTATGCCTTACACCTGGAATACTGGAGAGCTGCTCCATGCATCCAAAGCATAGGCAGCACCAAGTAAACTACCTGCAATTATACAGACTACCATATGTGTAATCTATATAACCATAAAGCTCCAGTTTTTAGATGCCAAACAGTCTGAACAAATACCATGAGGCTGGCATGGCTGTGGACATTTTGGAGAGGACACAGTAGATAGTCAAAGGGTGCCATGAAAGCAGGTTGGTGCTCCTAAGAGCCTTGGAACGTCTGCAGGATGCTTGGGAAGCCTCTGTAGTATGCATGCTAAGGGATACTGGTCTGGAGCAGAGTAGCCAGGGACTCATGTTTGGGATAATTCTGGACAACAGAGTTTTGGGGACCTTTGCCAGGACCTGTAAGATGTGAAGAGGGAAGGAAGAAGGTATTTCCTGGATATTTCCTATATCTGGAGTTTGACATTTGAGGACTGAATTAAGGACGGTGGGGCGGTTACCAGCTACCACATTTCTCAGTCCCTGCTTTTTCTTACCCTTCTCTAACTTCTGAAATGGAGAGAACTAAAAATGGAAACAGAGAACCAACTTAATCCCTGAAAATCAGGCTTGACAGAAGCACCTACAGTTCCTGGCCACAGTTCAGGTGACGGGTGAGAGATACAGGCTGAGACATGGGCAGGTGAGACAGAAATGCCAAACAGGCACTGTCATAAGAGATGTGTAACACATGGCAGGCACCAGCCTCTCTCTCATGCACTATGTTTAGGGCCTCAGATTGCCTTAAGCAAATCACCCTGCCCTGCCCAGCATTTTCCAACTCCTCCATTTCAGCCACTTGCTGCCTGATCAGCTAAAATGACTGTCTCAGGCAGAAATGTAATTTTTTCTCATTTTTTCCTTTAACCTATTTTCATCCAAGTCCAGATGTACACAAAAAGGCACACACAGGAGAATGCAAGTGTTATCTAATACATAAAAGATGGATTCAGAGAAGAAGAGAATTAAGCTGTTCTTCGTGCCCAGCATGGTATGATAAGAAGTAATGGGTGTAAACTGCAGGTGGGAGTTTTAGATTAGATATCAGAAATGGCTTTTTTTACAGTAGGCATAATAAGGACTTGGATAGATTGCTGGAGGAGGCTGCAAAGGATTTCAAAAACAGGTTAGACAAACATTTATCTGGAATCACATTGGTATACATGTTTGCAGACTGGAGCAAGGAATGGATTGCTCAAAGTCCCTTCCAGTCCTGTTTCCCTGTGATTTTATGATTCAAGGACATCCGATGGCCTATTTTTTGCTAGGGATTGGTCTTAAACAAACCTCACAGTCTCAAAAAAATGCCAGCAAAATAATAGGAAGGGTTGCTTTTAAATAACCATTATTCTAATTCCCTCTTTTCTTACTCAAAAAACCCTCCCACTCTGCAACACATTCAACTACAAAGCCGAATACAGTTGGTAAAGTACTGAAAGCATTAGCAGCATTGATAACACTGTAGCAATAATACAGCAAGTGATCTGAAATCTTTGTTTCTTTTGACCAAGTTCTTGCCCCTTATACCTTTCTCTCCTTCTCCCCACCCCAACACAATATCCAATTTTCTAAATTACTTGAGCTTTTATGCACACTTTCATTACCATAGCAGGTGCAGTTATTTAGACCATTAAAGTCCTAGCAGTAGTGTAAGTTGGGAGTGACCCCACTGCAAATTAACAGTTCAGACACAAGAGGTGAATGGTGCTTTAAAATGCAGCTGGAAATCTTCCACTGTACCCAAACAGGACTTGGTCCAAGGTCCTTGTCTGAAAGCTGCTCCCTTAACACAAGTCACTTGAGTTGGAGGAGAAAAGCGTTACAGATTAATTCTGGTTTGTGGAGAAAAGAGGCTCTTTTCTTCCAGCTGAAGTTAAAAGCTGCCAACAAACATCAGCAAACCTATTTGGAAATTTTGGACTGAC